CCACTTTCCCATGAACGTCAATTCCTAGCATATACTACAATCGCCAATTACCCGTTCACTCAATTGTCCCACCCGTATAGCCACTATTACCACCGGTCCCGACTGACAGGCAGCTTTGAATTTGCGGTGTCAGGAGGGCTACCAACTATCATCTAACCGACATGCCAAAGTGAAAGGCTTCTATCCACTTCCGTTTCGAGTGGAAGACTCTCCCGTGGTAGTGTCTGTGCTCAATGCTTCATACGTCTGATCGAAACGTTGTTGCCTTTAACGCCTGCATCGGGAATTTTGTGAGAAACCAGAGACAGGCAGACCCAGTAAAGTGACCTTTAGCTGTTTATAACGTTTCGTTGGTGAACGGAGGTCTCATTTCCAGGCAAGGTTCTGAGAGTTCGGCTAGAACTCATGGAGCGTCGTCAGTGTTATGCGTCTTGGGGCGATTCATCTGTACAGAAGTTCCATTCTCTCCTTTTTAACGACCATGATTCACTCTTGCTGAATTTCTTACTTTTGGTCTCCAAGCTCTTTATCAGCGGAGATTGGAAGAGTTGATGTTGACCCTATCTACTTGCGTGTTTCTCTTCTACAGCCCTCTTCGACCTCTCCCGGTTCGTCGTTAAGATTGCCCGACCTTCAGACAGCTGCCTAAAAGTCCTTGCCCTCTTACGAAAGGTTAGCCGTCCTCCTTCTTTTCACATCTGTCTATATGTGTGTGACATGCTCGTTGGCCCCTAAAAGGGACCGCGCGGTAGATGTGCTGAACCAACACGGGGGGGGGGGGCTAAATCGGAGTCAGTCGGGAGTTATAGGGAGTGTGCACCCATAACCAATGCCAGCGTTCGGGGCGTGTCGGCATGCTCAGCTTCCGGCTCCTGCCTGGCCAACTGGGATCCCTGCCGCCCCTCCGCCTCATACTTGTTGTTGTTTGTTGTGGGCCAGGGACTGTGGCGGTACGTCTAGGCGCGGGCTCTCGCCGCGCCGGTCAACTGAGGCCTCTCCCGCCTCCGGCATTCTTGACTTGATCATTTCACCGGGTCCAGGCGGGGGAGAAGGAGAAGGGAGGAGGAGGGGAAGGGGGAAGGAGGAGGATGAGGAGGGACTGTGGTGGATACAGCGCAAGTTCATTGTCACTGTAAACTAGCTCGTGCGCAAGTCACCATCCCTGCTCTCACCCTACTGTGGTGGAGCACACAGTTGACGTTGTCGAAATTGACGATCGAACTATCTCGGCATGCCCGTTGAGGGGCGGGGTGGAGAGTTGGTCACTTTTTTGGATTGCGAGTCGCACGAAGCGCCTGGCTGCACGACATGCCCCCACAGTTGCATCAAGCGCTGAGGGCTACCCCTCGATAACTGGCGGAGTAAACCAGAGGCAGTCAGCTGTTGTGCCTGCGCGAAGCTGGATTTGGAATCAGTCGCGTTGGTGCACGCGCAGATGGGGTCTCATGTCAGATGTAACGTCGCGCCCAAACCTGTCTTCAATATTTTTGACCCAGCCTTGTCACTGGAGCATGATAGGTTTGAAGGAGGACGTGATGCAGATGCTA